AAAGGGGTCTGAAAAGGCGCTAAGTTGGCAACACTGATCTGGAACACTTACACACTACAGCCATGAGCCACGTCTCTTAAGGCAACCGCGTAAACTAGTGCTTTTCTGCCACAGCTAATCATGCTGCATGCTTATTGGCTCACTGACGTTGACGAGATAAACCCCTTAGGTATCGAAAGGCAAGACCTGTTTTGATATTCGATAGTATCGAGGCAATTCAGTAGGTACCTAAAAAGTATCGAACTTAATACCCAGCCCTAAAATTTACTTATACCAGATGGATCAAATAATTGATCAGGACATTAAGTCAAACTCATTTTATATTTTACTTTAGACCCAAGACTGATTAAGAGCTGTAATATAATAAAATGATCATGAGAAATACACATCTTAATGTGATTGCTATATAAAGCATATTCTATAATGTTTGTTTAGATGAAAGCATTTAGGTCAGAGCAAGTCACTGAATTTCAAACTTGTTCGCTTTATTTCAGTCACTGTTTGAAATCTTGATATTCAGCACAGTTCAAGGTAATCGCAATATTAGTAAACCATCAACAAATCATACTTAGAGCACTTAAGATCATATGTTGCACCCCCCATCCCCCCATCCATCCCAATACAGGGCCATTTATAGGCACTACCCATTGTATATAGATAAACACTGAACCGACAAGTGACAAAACTTTAAAAAGGGTCAAATACATTGTCCGTTTGAATGTATACTTTTTCTTAGCTCCTCTTGTGCTGGTTAAGAGTAGCTGGCAACACCATACATTAATGTTAAGCATAACATTTGTTGGAGTTGGCATGTCTTTATAGTCATTCAAATAGAAGATTTTCGACTTAAAATGTCATTGCTGTACTACACTGAAAGGTGAATCGTGTCATTTCTGCTGCACTATACAGATTTAAAAAAATATATTATAACAGCTTTCAAACACTCCCCCTATCTGTCCAGCGAAATGGATATCCCCACCCCGAACTGACAACATTGGTTGTCCCAATGTCACAGTATCTTGATACTCAAACAAAAGAGAGCACTCAAAAGAGAGCAAAAATGACACAATTCATCATTAAACTAGAGTCTTTCTTCTTGAGTTAACCAGTTGCACGATTTGAGAAACCAGTTGTGTTTTATACAATATGCATTACTTACTATACCAAAACCAAGGGGTTTCAATAGAAATAAGGCAGTAATTCAGGCAACAAAAGCATTGAAGTCCTTCATTCTTATGAAGCAATGCTGAAGCATGGACTTCTGAGCTAGTTGGCAAACTCTTTGCTCTGGTTAGAGGATTTCAGAACATGTGCTTTGGTAATATGCAGCTGGTAACGGGATGCACTTGAGTGCTGAGGCACACCAGTGCATAATTATATCAAGGGAAATCACAGTGGCTTACATGCAAGGGTGTACAACTACATTAACCCTAAGTGAAAGTAATTACTATTTAGTTAGAAAGAAAAAAATCAGTGGTAAATTTAATAAAAGTGAGAAGTGTTCAGTGACATTACATATATAAGCTGTAAAATTAAGTCCGGCTAATTTTATTTGGCTTTTTAATGGTTTCCCGTCGCTAAAGTCATGCTACTAGTTTCAAAATGAGCCTTGGAAACCATGGAAACCGTCCTGTTAGAGGTCCTTTCCATGGCATGACTGATGCTTTTTGTGGGTTCGCTTACCACACAGCAAACACCCGAAAATGAATGTGATTCTAATCATGTTGAGATTGAGGAGAATGGCTGAGTGTTCTAGAACATTGACTCTATCCCGTGGGAACAGACGGTCCCCCCTATTGAGGATCAGAGTGCAGCAGACAGTTAGAGGAACAATAGATGCAAAGCACGCTCTTATACAAAAACATTACCTCTGTGGATAGTTGGAGCAGAGTGGTTAATACTCAAAATACGGCAGAACCAAATTTTATAAAATAAGAGTGGCAGGTTTTACTCAAATGTACAGGGCAGCATCTATATCTTCCACAATAAGAGAGATAGGAATTCAGTAAAAATGATTCAGGTTTCTTCATATATTGCTATTACAGTACTTACTTTCAGGTGCCAAGTACAAAGAGATAAATGCAACCTGTTAATGATGCATCAGTGAGATAAGGCACTTAAAAACTTTAAAAGCACTCCTTCATGATCTTAAACTCATGCATAAGGCAGCTAGAGAAAGGCCTTTGCTGCCAACTTTCATATTTAAACTATTTAATGGGGAATATCAACCCAGGGACCCGAAACGTCATGAAATAAAACAACTTACATAATATGCAACAGTAAAAACATCATCTCCAAGAGGTTTCTAAACATTCAAGAGGATTAAAAAGTTGGCTATTAACCTTCCAGCATTTACTGAACATGTTATCTATGCACCTTCAATGCACAAATATGACTGAATTGTAAATTCAAAAACTCAAAATTCAAGTAACGGTTCAAGGTTCTCATTGGACAGTATGAAATGTTGCAGTGTAGTGGTTGTGTGTTCAATGCTAAGATCTATTCAGACTGTCACCAGCAGCAAAACAGAGGTAAACTGAGGCAAATCAGTGTTAAAGTACTTCTCAAAAACATGAATCTCCAAAATATACTAAAGTTTTAAAAAGTTAATACTAAAGCCAAGAACTAAAGGGTGACTCTCCTAAAACTCATCGTTTCCAATACTTTAATAAAACAAGCTTTTTTTTTTCTTCTTTTTTTGAAATAATCAAGGCTCAATAACCTTGTTCTGAGATCTTTTTGTGACTTGGACACTTTTAACCAGCACTCTTATTGCGAGACTTTCAACCAATGTGCATAGTTAACATAGATGGGGGATCAAATTGTTGATGCAAGCGTTGCGTTCATGTGGTTTTCTCCAGGGAAACATTGCAATTTGGAGCCACAAATGACAATAACCTTAAATTCTTTAAAACAAGTGCCATAAAACAGTTTAGGGACAAGCTGTCCAATGCTTTGATGAGTCTGTGATGTGTGATTTGTAGTGTCAACTAGTTCTGTACATGAACCTATGCCCTTGCTTCCAACATCACACTGTGGTTTCTCGACCGCCCTTCAAATTGGGGGCGGACATTTGCCTACGCATACGGGGTGGGGTGCAAAAATTGTTGTGGTGGCTCGGCTGCTGATTGGGTGGGTACTGCGGGTAGTTGTTGCTGGCATCAGTATTGTAATGATAGAACTGTGGATGCTGATGTTGCGGATAATTATGCTGGTTTTGGTTGTAGCGTGGCTGGTAAAAGGCCATTTGGGGGTGAGGAGGCTTCCTGTTGCCAGAATTGAGGGCCTCCGTAGAGTCCGAGGCTCGCTGGCTGCTGTTGAAGGAGTTACTACGGCCTCGTTCATGGAGTTTGTGGCTTTGATTATGTCTGTGACTCAGGCCCTGCTCTAGATCTTTGCTTCTACGTTGACCCATGGGACTGGGAAGAGTGGGATACGTCTGGATGGTTGGTCCCACTTGCTCTCTGGGCCCTGCGACCTCCTCAGAGTCGTCCTCTTCCTGGACCACTTCTTTGGGTACTTTCATCTCAATAACCTGTTCATCTGTTATAATGATATGAGTGCCAGGTGTCCAGGAGTTTCGATGCTTGGGGTTACTCTTGAAGGGGAAGCGCAGCTTGCGGTCTTCAGGTGGGATGAAGCGGTGGGGTCCATTTTGCCGTCGGAGCTGCCTGGAAATCTCCTGTTGCTGGAGGTTCTTGAGGCGTACCTGCTCCTGTCGCATCCACCTCATACGCCCACGTCGAAATGAAGATTCATCATCCGTCATCCTAGACACCTGCTCGTCTGACTGTTCACAGTTGGGCCTCTCCTCTGGAGCTTTACCCTCGCTGGAACTGCGGGCCCTCATGGGTCCACTGCGAGTGGTTTTCTCCGGTGACTCATTGGAAATCAGTGGGATGACTTGCTCCATCTTCAACATCTTATTCCGGAGAGCTTGAATCTCTTCATCCTTCATGTTGTTCTGCTTTTTTACCTCTTGCAAGATGTCTTCGAGTTTGTCAATGTGCACCTTTAGGTCATCCATGTCAGTCACGCCTCGTCCATTGGTTATGACATCTTCAATTCGTTCGTCCCCAACCCCTACAGTGTCCCAAACATCTCGAGCTACTGCTCTCCAAGAATCTCGTTCATTCGGGTCTTTCTTGTTGTAGGTGGCACAAAGCTCCTTCATTTTTACTATAGCTAGAGCCTCGATCTCTTGACGGGTGTGACGGAAATCATTCAGTGCCACCTCATAGCAAATTTCTTTGACTGCCTGGATCTTCAGATCAGAGATGGTGACCCATTTGGAGTCCTTTGTAAGACGACGACGCTGAGGGATCTGGTACATTTTGATAGGCTCCCGTCTTTTACCGCTGCTGGGTAAGCCACACTTTTTGACTATGGTTTGGAGCTTGCTGGGAGGAAGTTTCTCTCGTAGAGAAGTGATGAGTCTCCAGCTCTCCTCGCATGACCTCTTATCAGAGTCATCACCACTATCAGAGTCTCCATCCTTTAGAGAACAAAACAGGAAACAAACCAAAGAGTGCGAAAAACAAAATGGGAAAATTAAAATGGGGTATCGAAAATAAAAGGAATGTTTTCTGTAAAGAATGGACAGTGTTGTGATATGCAAAGGGGGAACAGCTAAATTGGTGCAAATTTACAACTTAATTCATTAAGCTGAGAAAAATGATCAAGCTACTTGACGATTTCTAACCAACACATTCAGTCATCATTAAACTGCAAAGCACCTTTTGTAGACTGCAGATATGAATATTTTAGAGGGCATTTTGAGTACTTACAGATGCATTTGACTCAAGCTTTCTAAGAATGGTGTGCCACGGTTATTTTTTAGATGTACGGTATGTACATACAAATTCAAGTCACAGTTATTCCCAAATTGCATATCACTATATAAAAATCAAATGCAAGGCATGACTGTCATGATTGTGAGAAAAATGTAAACAAAAAGGAATAGATGTTGTGATCTGCTTTTTTTTTTTTTGTTGCGTTGGTTTCTGTCTTTTTGTCAAGTTAAAATGTATGCAATCCTCTTCAATTAGAGCTCTTGATAGTTGTACCCCAAACATGCTTCAGTGGCATGCAGCAAAGGCAGATGAGTTTTGTTTCATTCCCTCATATGAAGTCCTTCATAGAGAAGATTTGGTTTTAGAGTTTTTCTAGCTCTAGCGGTTGGTTAGACTCTTGCGTGTTTATTACGGGTCAGTACAGAGGAGGAAAAAGAGAAAGGACAGGCTCGGAGGAGGTTAAAAGCATAGATTTCATCCACTACAGTTAAGAGGTTAGTTGAGAGAAAATGCAGTTTCTCATTTTCCAGGTCAAGTAGAACAAAAACAATACAAAAAAAAAAAAAATCACAGTCAAATAACAGAGGAGGCAGCTGGCGACCATGTAATCGTGATTGTGAAATCAGTGCAGTGTGGGATATCGGTCATTCTGTATATAAAATTATATGGATGAGACCATCAGAGCATTGGAGAGCTTGTCATCATTAAGACCCCCAACATGGATAGCTGTGTTATAGCATGCCCTCTGTGTCTGGCCAGACACAGACGTGTAGAACTCAAGGCTACAGATGTAATGAGAAACCACATTGTCACTAGCCTTCATCAACTACAGCAGAAATCTTGGGTTATGGCAACAATGCATTGGAAACATCAGCAATTGCATTGAGAAAACCAACAAATTCAGACAAAACTAAATCTATAAATCAAATGCTGACTCCAGCTCGAACAGCTAAAAAACACTGCCCAGCAAACAAATACTAAATGAGGTACTAAGTACCCCGTAAATTAATCTGTTAAACATGCTACACAAAAAAAACATGCAAAAGCAGCATTTAGAATAAACCAACGAAAGGGACTTTTCTATTACACCAATTTAACTTAAATACCCCATGAAAAGGCTTGAAAAGCATAGTTTGATGATGGCAAGGAAATTTGACAAATCATTTATTTTCTCATTGATGTCATGGGGTCTTTAACTGGTGCATGGCAAACCAATTTCTTACATAACAATTATGGAATTCATACCAATTAAACTAATAAAATACTACTAATTAAAAACCAAATTAGTATTCTTCTGTTGATGCCTCAAAGTTAAATCTCAAATCTAAGAGAGAGAAGTGAATTTTTGAATAAGAAATTCTTGCTGTATCAAACTGAATATGTAAATCAGTTCATATCAGCAATGGGCCATCTGCTATCTCAATCCAGACAGAGTGAATTCAGTTACCATGCAAAGAGGTTCAGCCATGCACTGGGAAAAGTGTTTCTCTCTCACACACATACACACAAAAGTCTCAAGTTGTCAGAGCTAAGAGTGCAGAATTAGTGCTGTTTGGACTTCAGCAGAGCAAGTAGAAAAGTAGGGGACCGTTTTACTCGGTTCATCAAATAGCATATCTCTCCCCACAATCTAAAGAAAGGTCCTGACAAAATTTGGAAGGAAAATAAAGGTCTAATTGGAATAAAAGTAAGGGTCCTCTAATAAACAACAGAAGAAACAAGAGATTCAGCCTTACCAGTCTCTGTTGCTCAAGTAGCTGGTCCGCTTCCTCCTTCTCTTTTTTGTACAGGATCTCCATTTCTGTAAGCCTGATATAATACAGTGCAAGACCACTGCATCAAAAAGCTGCTCTTTCTTACGCTCAGTGCATTTGCTTTCCGCAACATAATCCTAAAAATCCTTCTTACGATAATTCAATTCCTATGTGCTCACATTCCATGCCAAGAGCTTAAACTTCACAAAATGTAGATTTTGTCTTTTCTAGCTGCTGGGTGGCCCCCGGCTTTGGTTGGCTAGATCCAACCATAAACTATGCATAAGCAGGAATCCCTCTAAGGAATTTTTTCGACAGTAAGGCACTTACAATGGAAGTACAAGGGCAAGGCAATAAACACTCAGAATGTGTTACCATAAATGTGTTAACTAGAAACTAGAGAGAATGTATAGTATTTGCTACTACTTACTAACTTACTAAGTGCCTGAAGGGTTGAGTCAAAATTATTTCATATAACCAATATAACTCTTGTATTAACCTTGGAGTTATCTTTAATAATATCCCATGATTATTATTTCTTACATACCTCTTCTCCATCTCTTGCTTCATGTCGATACCCTGTTTCTCCAGCAGTTCTCTTTGGGCAAAGGTCCAGTCCACTGGCTCTACAGGGGTCTCCGCTGTCGGGGTCTTCTCGCGCTCAGCGCGGGCCTGCTCAGGGTGGTTAAACCGGAAAACGTGGTTCTTTCCCATGATAATGCGGTTACCTGAGGAATGAGCAAGTATGTACACATTGCAAGGGCTTTCAGTACCGTATTCAGTATCACAGTTTCAGTATTCGTATCGTAATCATAAACACTAGTTTCAACGTTTTCACTGCATTTTGTTATTATTCTAGTTATTTACTTACAGTGGCTAATAAACTCGCACATTAACAAATAATTTGTTTTTATCACGTTAGTTTTCATATGCCTACAAACAATCAGATTAAACCAGAGCTTAAGAACAGTACTGTGCAGACAACGGTCAGTGGCTCACCTGAGCGCAGCTGGACAGCAGAATTCACACGTTTTCCGTTCACATATGTTTCAGATCCCTCACATGGCTCCAAAGTGACAATTACTGTAGAAACAGAAGACAATACACTACCTCCAGCAGCAATTTCAGGTTTTCATTGAGTAAAAGTGTAATTAACAAAAGTTAATCGGATATACAGGAGAGGAAATAATCTTTGACAAAAGTTAATTTGCACTGAGCTGATCATGTCCGATGTAAAAGTGTTTTACTGTTGGCAATTTGAAATGAAAACAGATAAATGGATCAAAAGATGCAAGTGAACACCTACCATTTCCGCTGGGGTTCCTCTCACTGCGGAAGATACAGTGCTCCTCCTTGATGTGCGCTCCGCTCAGAACGATATCCTGACGTCTTTCTGCGTCTGCCTGGCCCACTCTGTCAAAACAAAGACATTCATTTGAATTACCACAAGGATACTCCAACATTACATAACAGCAATGTGCGATGCAACAAGTTTTTAGGTTATATATACTTATATAAATAAACTTGATTAAATCACAACTTTTATTTAAGCGATTTAAGACTGTTCTAATGAGGATACTCAACAAAATGGACATTGACAATTTGTTATTAGTGTTATTGTTCGTTCAAGCGTGAAAGAGAACTTGATTCTATAATGTAACGCTAGCCAAAGGATGATGGGGAAAAAAAGGATGCTGTGTTATTGCTGTCTGTCTGCTAAATATTTTTAACGCAGTGATCTGAACAAAATGTGTGTGTTGATACAACTGGAGAAGTACAAAAACTCACGAGAAAATCCTAACATAAAAGCAGTAAACAACACTGTGTCCTTTGAAGGACCCTTGACTGGTTGGATCTGTAGCAATCATAAGATGCCTCAGTGCAACATCCAGACAGCTACAAAACTTCTGACAGTTATGAAAGTGATTTCATACCTTGTTATTCCATCTTTGATATAATAGAGCAGACATTCTGACATCAAAGGATCCTCATTCAGGTTCACCAGGTGAGGGGTCTGTGGGGAAACAGGGTCAATGAGAATGGCAGACAGGTCAAACAGTGCCTGATGTCACTACAGCTATAATTACATTCACAGGCCAATTAAAAAGTGAAATAATGAGATTAAATGCTATCTCAGTAATTATAATGAATCAGAAAGTCATACAATTTGGCTTCTCCAAGGGCTAATAAAACATACTATATTAGCCTCTATGAACTAAACAACTAAAAACTATTGCATTATCTATTTCTATACAACCAACCTTTTGGGGTGAAAACACCCCATTAAAGTCAGTATAGAGTTCACATGGCCTTTCAACGAAAAGCTATTGGATAGCCAAAATGACAGAGAGATGTCATTGTCATAGAGGGAGAAAAGGAGAGAAATTGAATGAAAACATGAATAAGTAGACAAATAAAAAATGACAGATGCATTGTTCTAAAGGCAGGCTAACTGTGTTGATGAGTTTCAGGGAGGAACGCCAAGAAGACAATGAGATTGTGGTAAACAGTGCTTTCTGGAAGTACTTTTTGTAAGTGAAAACATCCGGTCTAACCTTAAACCAATAACAGCTCTGAAGTATTCGAATACTAAATCCGAAAACCAAAAATTGTTTGTCCTATTTATGAAAATAACTGATTTGATTAGACTCATGAGAGTCGTTCGTTCTTGAAAACACTACAGCATGCTGATGGATTTACATCCATTTCTATTTCCTACGGTCACTAAAATTAAGTGTGATGTGAGAAAATATTCAGTAATATTCAGTAATCCACAATTATGGCTTGCTACATGAACTCAATAGGCTACAGTAGGGATTTTACAGATATAAAATGGGGGGGAAGTTAAGGTGATTACAAACCTGATTAGAAGAATAAACACTAAAGTCTTCAATAGACAGTGACGTTGGTCTATCAGGACCAAACTAATAGGATTCCATTGCAAGAGGCAAGCAAAACAAAAGAAAAAAGGGCGAAAAAAAAGAATGAAGGGAGAATGATGGATGATGAAATACAAAGAAAGAAAGGCCCAGACATGTGGACATGAGAAGGAACTGACAGTAATGGCGATTAATAATAAGGAGTTCATGTGTTGTACCTTTTTGGGAGAGAAGACACCCAGGGTTCCCCCATCCTCCCGTATGGCCACTCCCATCTCTGCCAGCAGCGCCTCTCTGAGGGGAGGGAAGGAAAACATCATAGACATTACAAATCAACACATTTTTATAAACTTTTTAGTTAGCATCGAAGACATCTGGAACATGTATATTTAATACTTGAATGCACATGTTAGTGTTGAGGTCAGTGTGTGATTTGACCGTTACTTGAGTCTGGTACAGACTCACACCAGCTGAGCACGCGGGCACATAGCAGACACTCCTCACGAGCATAAAAGGGTATGGGCACAGCGACAATAGGAAGGGAGCCAGATGGCACCCAAGCCCTCACTGACCTCTCCATACGGATGGCCTCAGTCTTCCTCAGCTTCTCCTCCCAGGTCTCATTCAGCTCGGCTATGATCTTCTCAGACTCCTAAACGACCACAGAAAAAGAAGGTCAGCATATTTTAAAGGATCATTTGGAAGTTTATGCTGGGAGGTATAAGACAGAGTCTGAAATGGCTAAATATTGCTGGCATGAAAATATCATTAAAAAGTTTAGAATCAATTTAATGTTTTTTAATGATCACCAAGGCTACATTTAGAATCAAAAATACAGTAAAATAGTAATATTCCACAATATTAGTAAACTTTATTGTGGTAGTTTTCTATTTTAATGTATTTTAAAAATCAATTGATTTCTCTGATGTCTTCAGTGTCAGATAATCCTTCAGAAATCATTCTAATACTAAACTGATTTGGTGTTCAAGAAACTTTTGTTTTTATTATACTTAAATATCGCATAATACTTTTATTTATTAATCATAATCATCTAAAGTTGTATCTATTAACATTAGGTAATGCACTGTGAACTAACATGAACATTATTATTAACTATAAATGCTGCACAAATATATTTATCATTGTTAGTTTATGTTAGTTAATGCATCAACTAATATTAACAAATGAGACCTTAGTGTAAGTGTTATTTATATAATTTATTTAATACTTAATCTATAATTAGCACCAGGTCACCATTTCCACACATTTGCCAATATGAACCTTTCTAACCTGTACATTATACTAAGAAGCTTAAAGCTTATTCTGCTATTCAGCGCCGTGAGCACATCTTGCTGTGTGTTAAATCAGACATAAGATGTGGGAAGGCCATATTTCAGGGTCCTATGGCAAAAAGGGAAAATCTAGGCAATAAGCCTGTCTACAAAGGGTCAAGAGCAATAAACACAGTTATATACGGGAAGCCCAACTACACACATTTTTATTTTATTGTGTCTGTCCCTTATTGTCCTTGGCTGGAAGGAAAACAAGAACCATCTGGCCTGAGGTACAGGAAGCTCCCCTAGATCCTTCCTAAAGGGTTAACACCCCTGCCATCTGTTCAGAAAGTAACACTGTGGCTTCTTCAAACCTGTGATCTGATGCTTCTAAGAAACCCAGATCACAACAGACGACTGGATAGATCGTAAGTTTACGTAAGCTTTAATTAAGATTTTTTATTTTTGAAAGAAGTCTCACCAAGGATGCATTTGCTTGATCAGAAATGAAGTAAAACAGTAATATTGTGAAATATATAATCTACTAGATTTTTGTAACATCTTAAAATGTATTCCTGTGATGACAAAGCTACATTTTCAGCAGTCACCATCTCAGAAGTCATTCTAATATTTCAAAACATTACTGTTTTCTGTGTATTTTTATCAAACAAATGGAGCCTTGAACATAATGTACATTTACAAGTAAGAAATTGGTTGTATGCAGGGGAAATCACAGACATCATGAAGTGAGTGATGAGCTCCAAACTGACTTCTATCTGATTATGTTAAGGATTGAGGGCAAGGATGCTCTCACTTTTTATTATAGATCAATATTTTTGGCCAATACAAAAGAACAGGTCTATTTCTGTCTGATTTCCTGACGAACTGCGTCGGAGGTTGACGTCACTAATGCGAGCCACTTGCCGTAACCATGGAAACTATTGCCTGGAAGCTGTAGCCACGTATACTTTCCCTCTCTTTTCTTCCCTTACCATCTCACACATTCACAGAGTCTCAGTGAATGGTTTCAAACCACTTCTGGGAGGGAAAGTATGACAAGACAATCTTTTCACTCCCTCAAATAATATAATATAATATAAAGTAGTACTAATAGTATAATGATAGTAGTTTTGTTTTACATGTAATCTTAATCTAAATCTCATCTTTTTTTTATATATTTATTATTTATATTTATATTAACGTCACTTTGTACAGGCCCCGCCCACGACTGCTGACAGACTCTTCCGTATTAGCATAGTTCCCACCCTGAGCAATTTGTACACTGTCCGCCATTTTCTCCAGGCCGGAGCAGCTGTAGCGAAAAGAATGTCTCGTAAGCAACTCGGGTGTTTTGTTGTTGGATGTAAGGGTGAACATAAGTCTTCATTTACTCCCGACATAGTTGTATTTTTTAAGGGAATGCACTCTTATACCCAAATTAATTTATGTCCGTGCAAATCGTTTTACAGCAGACTACTTTGTGAACAAGGGTACATAAGGGAACTGACAGTTTCTGACATTTTCAGTGCGTAAGATTGTCCCGTTTTGTTTTTGGGGCACAACCCATGTCATAGCCGTTTACAGACAGCTGGCATGTCAGATATCATTCATTAAGACAATCTGTCAGGAGGAACGCAGAACAACACAGATGAAGTCCTTTAATTACCTCTCAGGTTACCATGGAGATCCAAAGTAGATATACATATGTATGAGAACATGCAAATCATTGTGAGTAGAGCATTTTGAATATAAAAGGTCACCAGGTGCCTGAAGCACCCCCATTATCCTATTACACATTGTTACCTAATTAGATTTGATTAATTTAAGAGGAAACCTCTTTTGACGCCAGGAAATGGTTATTAACTTAAGCCCTTGAACCCTTCTTTTGTTTCTAAAACGCTTTTCTGTGTACCTTTAGCCTCTCGATGGCCTCTTCTCCGCCCGGCGTGGACATGATGCGCTCCTGGATGCTTGAAACGGACTGCAACCCTGCCTGGCTGCACAGAGAGCCTGAGGACGGAGAGGCTGTCAGGCAGCCCATAGGTGCTGTGGAGAAATGGCCAGGCCGTTGGTTCTCTGAGGCAAGCAAGTATCTATGCTTATTGTTGTGTATATCTTTCAGGTCTGAGCCACAGAGGAGAGACAGACGACGCAAAGAGGGAGAAGCAAAAGTGGTGGAGACAGAAATGTAAGAAAGAGTACAAGAGACAGACAGACAGAGAAAGGAAGAAAAAGGACAAAGAGGAGGAAAGACCAATGTGAGACACAGTTCACATCAAAGGATCACAAAAAACACGCCAGTCAGATGCAGTTTTCACCTCAGGTTGTTCAAAGTTGACACATTTATATACCCAATACTTCAAAAATCCAATTCATAATCGCAATAACATCCTTAAAACAAGATATTAGAGAATGAATCTTGAATTTAACAGTATTTTGTCTAGTTCCATTGGTTTTTGTTTTGTTTTTTTTTCACTTGTTTTAAGCACAAACCTCTAAAAAACGGGTTAAAAATAAATTAAACATTAAAACACAATGGAACAAGACAAAATACACTTCAATCAAACACTCATTTTCTTTTATATACTTTTATTATATTTTATTTATATTGTATTATATTTTATTTTATTTGAAAAGCATCAGATTTCAGAGAAAATTGTGATGCAGTTTTAGGCTGATTTTCAATTCAAGATACATTCTTGGGAAATAAGTCTTCATTTTAAACACAATTTTGCTAAGGTAAATTTGTCCTGTTTTAAGAATATCAATTTTGACTACAGTATATAATATTTTTACATGTTTAAGTATAAACTAAAAATCATAAATTTCAGTATATAATATTTTAATATGAGGATACTACTATTTTATACAATGTTTGCAATATATCTATGACATAAATAATAATAAAAAAACATGTGACCTTAGAACAGTGCAGCCGAACTTAAAAAGAACATTAAAAGTGATAAATCGCTCTCTTTTTTTTATATATATATTTTGACCTGGGTGAAAACTGACACTTCTCAGATAGGAGAGAAGAGTTGTGGGGTGGGGTGTTGCATAAGGGCCACAAACCAGGAGAGGAGGGCTAGGGGGTGGTAGAAGAGTTAACATAACATGCAGCTATACAAGCTATAAAATGTGTTTTCCACGCGGCACATCATTCTTAAAGTCATGATGCTGTTCAAAGCTCTTCAAAACACAATTTTGTTACATCTACTGTGACTGGGAGGAGCGTATGCATTTTAAAAACCTCTCCCAGGGAGCTTTACCCCAGTTCAGTCGAGCTTTCTGCCGTATATTCACGCTATTGGATTTTTTCCCCACTTCATTTATCTGAAAAGACTCTCCTGAAGCAACTAGGCCAACATGGCGGAGTAGCAGCACTGCATTACATTACCGTTCATGCGTTCAGATGATGCGATTGAGGTCGCTAGCACACAGACGATGGCAAGCATTTTAGTCAAGTTAAAATGTTCACTTTTTCCCCAGCTCCATATGGTTGAAGAGGTAGAAAGCACAGTGTGCGTTCATCTCTCTGCGTACATCAAGAACTCCCAGACAGATAGAAAAGCAAATAGCCACCTGAGCTCTGATTACCTCCTGCAGCTTTTTAAAAGGTATGCAGAGGTTGTGTAAGAGGATACAGAGAACAGGGATGGGAGAGGGCACAGACGCACTTGAACTAAAGTGCTACGGAAGTACTGAGGCTATGGTATTCTTACACTAACACTGCAACTGCTATTCTGCAAATGTAAAAATGATCAGACATGCACCTTTTCTCTGATAGATCATTGCTTCGGTTTGTAAACTTAGTAGTGTTCTAACATCGTCAATATCGTGACCTGCAATGAACAGTTAAATCACAATAAAACATAGAAGGAAAAAACAGGACAATAGGACAATATTCTAATGAAAATGATCAGATTAAAGGATTAACATTAATATCACATAATAATACATTCTGTATATTCTCATTTATTCACCCATATCATTCGAAATATAAAGCTGATTTTCAGCTTTAACGTCAAGCAGAATGTCATCCAATAGATTTTTTAAAGTCGTCCAAAAAATTAACTCATTGACTTACAGTCTTCCTTTACATTAATCTGTTTATCACACAAAGCTATTGACTTTAAAGCTGTATTTTGTCTTATTTCATCTGCAAATGTTGCTATAAGCCTAAAGCCGATAAGTTTAAATTAAAACCAGAAATGGAAAACCCAATGGAACAAAACAAAATACATTTTTATTTCAACGTTCATTTATTACTTGATTACTTCATTAGAAAATTTGTAAGATTATGGAAATGACGAGTTGAGAAGCAGTTTCATATTGATATTCAATTCAAGATATATAACCTGAAAGCATCCGAATGTTATCCGGAAATTTGTCTATTAATGTATATAATATTTCATTATATGGAATGGATATTCATATTATATAAAATATTACTTTAGTAAATTTAAATGCAAAAAAACTACTGGTCTGTTTATCACACAAAGTATAGTTGTATGGCTCATTTGGACTACTTTTATGATCCCCTTTGTTTTTAGAATTAGCATACACATAAATCACGTTTCCTTAAATGGAAACGAAAACTAGGATTTGTTTCACAAAAGAACATAGAGATTAAAATGATAACAAATAGTTTGTTTTATTTTTTTTTTTACATTTTGGGGTGAACTATCCCTTTAAGTGCTTCCAGATGCAGTCTATCAGATCTATCGTGCTGTGGGTGGGGTTTGGGCTTATTTGGAGGAAAGCCTGCCATTAAGACTGCATCATGCCAGACAGTCTATCAAATTAGGCTAAGAGCAAGCATAAAGCCTTCTAGCGGCACGTTAACCCATCCATCCCGTTTTTATCTCGTTTGTCTGGGATTCCTTGTGGTAAAAAACTGAGGCATGCAAAGCCGATAGGTTTGTATTCCAGAAGCGATGAATAAGCTATTAGAAGCGAGAGGGGAGAGCAAAAGGATGTGGCCCCGTCACGCGTATACACACATTTGATTCCACTTCCAAGGCAATCATCCCCCATTGGCTCGACTGAAGGGAAGCAGGAAGAACAGGAGAAGGTTGAGAAGTCAGAGTTGAGAGGACTAGTAGAGGAATGACTGATGGAAGCAGTTAGATTTGACCAGATAAAATATTGTGAAGACAAACATGTGAGGGAAACACTTGACTTTACATTACATAAGTGGCATGTTATGTGTGGTTAAACTGGACATTGTGTTTGAAAACAGTATTGTCTGTTTCTAACCATCATATGTCCATACTAATGCTAATCTCCATCGCATGTTGATGAATGGTTAAATGAAGACATAGAAGGAACAACATGAAGACAATGCAAGCTTTAGATCAGAGCTAAAGAATTCGCCACATGTGAGCACAGTAAGTGACCTCCCATTTGTCTAGCAATTATATGTCAGTGCCCATTGGGGTGCGCTGTGCCTCGACTTACTGTCCAGGATGTCCCCTAGGCCCTGAGCACGGAGCAGGTCCTTCAGCCGTGTCACCTCGTCCTTAAGCTCCCGCACCAGTTTGGCGTTGGGGTCCTCGTTGATGACGGCGTTGCACTTGATTTGCTTGGCTCTGTCCGCATATCTTTGAATGAGCAAACAAAGAAAATGATCCAAACAGCCATTGATATCACAAGAGTGTTTTTATCTAGAGCAAGAAAGCCCTCTTATCACAATCAGGATCTAAGAGTGGAAGTCACCTTGTTTGATGGCAAGTAGAAGTGAATTCTTACCGGAGTGTGCTGAGAGTTTCATCATAGTTAATGTCAGCAGGGCTCAGGGCGGCCACCATAGCAGTCCTCGAGTTCCCTCCTGGTTAATGAGTACAATTATGCAAACAATTAGAAACATTAAGTAATGCAATTTTGACTTGAGTATTGAGCTAAGATGGGCAAACAAGTTCCACAGACTATAAAAAAAGTGATTGTAAATAGTAAGAGTTTTCTTTTTCTGTTAACTTTTTAATTAGTTAGATTTCAAAATGGTTATAACACTGCATTACATTTGACCTTAGAGAGAAACTCTATAGAGTGGGTTAAACTCTCTGTAATAATTTTAACTCAACGTAACAACAAAACACCTCGAGTTAAAAGGGATTAATTTGATAGCTATTGGTTGGCAACTTGGCATCTTATGAGAAAACTAGGTAACACTTTACTTGAAGGGGTGTGCATAAGACTGACATGACACCTTCATAACCATGACATATGTCTTGAATATGAAGTAAGGTTTATGCATGTATATGACAACTGTCATTAAGTGTCATTCGCTCTATAATAACATTTTGAATGCAAATATGACATTGTTCAGATGTCTCTGTTATAAACCATAACATCATAACCTGTCAGTGTCTTTGTCATGACAATTTGACATAAAATTAAGTTAAACCATCATGTGGTTGGCTTTGACATTGGCTGTCATGAGGCCATTACAACTGTGTCATGAATATTTTTTGTGACTAATTGAATTTGTCATTAAAAAGTTATAATAGCTTCATGACAGCCAATGTCAAAACCAACCACCTGACAGTTTAATGTAATGTTAACCCATAAAGCTAGGTGGTTTCTTAAGTTTGATAATTAATCTGCTATGTCATGTTTATGACAGGTTGTGTTGTCTTAGTAATGTCAAGTTGTCATGACAAAGACACTGACAGGTTATGATTTACTGGTTAATGTCAAGATGTCATAACAAAAACATGTCAAACTATATCATATTTGCATTAAAAATGTCATAACTGAGCGAATGACACTTAATGACACGACAGTTGTCAAAAACATGCCTAAAACTTCCTTCATATTCATAACATATGTCATGTCATGATTATGAAGATGTCATGTTAGTCTTATGCACACCCCTTCAAGTAAAGTGTTACCGAAAAGTTTAATTAAATCAGTTGAATATAGGTAATATTTAGTGGAATAAAAAAATAAGAAGAAGAAAGAAAGAAAATACATACACACACACGGCTGTTATCAATACAAATGCCTGTTACCAGTGTTGCGCATGCGTTCGGCCAATCAATGTACACTTCATCACTGGTAGTTCCTATAATGCTGGGTTAGACTCTACTCTGAAATGGGAGCTAATTTAGTCCCCACAAAGGGCCTTCCTAGAACTAAATTGTTCTCAGTTCCTGAGGTGCGAACATGCCAAAAAGTGGGTACTTCTGCCATTACTTATAGGCAATATGAAAAGATTCCTCTGGTGTGAAAGCCCCTGTACATACCTAAATTCTCTCTTAGCAGCCATGTCAACACTGAGTCTCGGTAAGGAATGAAGTCTGTCTTCTTTTTTTTCTTGCTCTGTTTCAAAACAGCCAGTAAAACATGTTGTAATGTAGCTCATATATACAATTACTGCTATAATAATAAGGGGCTTTAGGAAACTACTTGATGTATGAGACATCAAGACAGGACACTATTAAGACAAAAGGTTACATGGATAAAGGTGGGAAGGTTTAACCGTTAGATAGAAATGGTTCAGTGCTGGTTAGTGACCACAGGGAAAGATTACCTTGCTGGTACAATTATCCTGAGAAGGGAAGCATTGCCAGGAGAGAGACACAGCAAACAGAATTACAGTACTGAAAACAGTCAGGCAAACAGGCAGAGAGAGAGAGACAAGAATTTATCAATACTACTCACCACCTCAGCCAGGGCCGAAATAACCTTTCCTAGTGTAGTTAGAGATTTATTGATGTTTGCTCCCTCCTAATAAAGCACAAACAGGTATTTTATTATAATAATAATAATAAACTATGATTAAATCAAATTTAATACATTGCCCTTAAAACAAACAAGACCTTAAATGCACTGTGAACTTAGCCTTTGTTGATTAAAATCATAAAAATAGCTGATGCATAAGTGTTTTGTGTTCAGTAACGCATGTTACATTCCTGGAATATTTGAGGAGTGTGGAGGAGAGCACAGTCATTTTTAATAAGGCAGGTGGCGGTGGAACTCTAGAGGCTGTAAAATGAGTCCGTACCTTCAGTCTGGTTCCTTTGGCCCCTGTTGAGTCAGCACGCTCACTTCCTGCCAGATCCACCAGGCTGATTTTGCTGACCTGAAACAAGACAAAACAGATACCTTCAACACACTAAAATAAAACACAAAAGGAAATTTCTTCAGTCTGGCATACTATGTGTGTGGGAGTCTATTTTTTCATGCCATCCAAAGATTTTTGTCTATTTGGAATATATATATATATATATCTGATTTTAAATCAAACGGATTAAGAAAGCATTTGTAAATCATTTGTTCCATTAATCATCACTAAACAGTTCAATCGTCCAGTCGTTTTAGGGTAGGCTACTATAGTAAAAGCATTGGTGCATGCATGCATAACTAATTTTGCAAATGAATGCTTGGGTTATCTTTTCATTTTGTCGTGCTTGAGTTTGGGCCAGCGGTGCCGCTGCCAAACTGGATGCGTAATATTAGAGCGAGGGCTGGGGTGAGAATCTAATGTAGTAGCTCTGTACAATAGCTATTGTGTCCCTGGACCTCACTCATAGAGCTGTCTTTGTGTCTGCAGCAATTACACAATGAGCCCCACAAACAGGACGACTGGGATGGGTCAGTTTCCCTTTCTGCTCGGTTTAGGATTTGCTGACTTTGTGTTGCAGGACTATTCTGAGCTCTGAGAAATGTCATTATGGCTGTGAATGTGTGTAAAGTATCCAACCTTCTCTGTGGACAGGTCTGTCTCGCTGTCATATTTCCTCTGTGTGAAAACGATAGTGAAGACGGCATGAGACCGGCTGCTCGTCTCGTTCATGTTTGTGGCGGCAACAGTTCTGAGGACACAGGGTCAAAATTAGTGCCATAAGTTTCACATACTAAATATGCATTTAAATAGAAGTATAAAATAAATATATCTAAATATTAGAGTGAAACAAATAGTAAAGCTACACCAGAAATGTATATATTAATGGATATTAAATAATGTTATTATATTTGCACAATCCATCTATTAGTAACTGACTTTTCCCAGAAGAATTTAAGGATTTAAGGTGATGGTCAATTGAATCACAATTCTTTATCTTATTTTTAACATCTCTGTCAAGCTGCATATCACATTAAAACTAGAGTAAACCCTGAACTCAAAGTAATTTTGAGGGGGGAAAAAATAATTAAATTAATAAAAGTATAAAAAAAATAAAAAAAGTATAATAGTTTTTTAACTGGATCCCTCCATTGAAAAATATATTTTCTATTATTATTATTATTATTCAGTAAATGTGATATTATTTGAAAATTATTACAATAAAATACAATAAAAATCATTATAAAGGTTAAAAGGCTATCTTCCAATGTCCCATCCAACATTAAAAGTACAATTGAAATATAGTACATTTATTTTCTGCCATGACACTTTAAAGGGTTAGTTCACCCAAAAATGAAAATTCTGTCAGTATTTACTCACCCTCATGTTGTTCCAACCCCGTAAGACCTTCGTTCATCTTCGGAAAACGAATTAAGATATTTAAGATATTAAGATCGCTCCTGCATACAGTCCATAGGCTTCTTGAGGGACTGGCTCTTGCCGTCCCCGAAAAGTCATAAAAGACATCGTTAAAATAGTCCAAGTGACTACAGGGGCTCAATCTTAAGTTTATCAAACGACGAGAACACTTTTGTGCGCAAAAAAACAACAAAAATAACGACTTTATTTCAACTATTCGTTTATTTCTCCCTCTGCGCGAGTCAGCTAACTAGTTTAACCCTTTGATGCGCAAGCTATGGATACCCCTTCTAATGCGCAACATGGGTCTAAAAAGACCCGTATTCATTTCCTATGGTATTTCAGCGATGGCTGAGTGTTTTCTTTGCTAATCTTTAAAATATATGTATTTTATCATTTGTTATTCCAGGTTTTCATTAAATATCTTGTTTTTGATTTCCACAAATCATTGGGTTTATGTTTCCTTTCTTACTTTATAAACAAACACAGTTTTTGTATTTCTACATCAATTTTACATACATGGGTCTAAAAAGACCCGTATTCATTTCCTATGTTATTTAATGCATGGCTGGACTTTTCTTTTCTTTTTATCTTTTGAGATCAATTTATTTAAGCATTTAATATTCCATTATCTATAAATTTCATGATTTATAAATATTTAAAAAATATTTTTTTCAATTACCAAAAATATTTTTTTTTTCATTTTTTTTCTAGGTTTTGTGTTACTATATCAAATGTACTTATCAAGCATAATAAAACAAAATAATAAAGACAACTTTTTGTTAAATTAATCATCTTAGAAGTAATTTAGACAACACATTTAACACTTGAAATGTTTATTTGCCACTTTGTCTCGCATAGCATTCACATGTCACAGATAACTGATAACTGATAACACTGACATTGAACTGTGGTGTAGTGTAACTGTATTGAATTGTGGTGAATGTGATCAAAGAAAAGAAAACAGAAAAAAATATAGCTGCGAGCAGCGATGGCGGGCCCAAGCCGGTGGCACCGCAACCCCGGTTCCTTTAGTTACCTAAAGGCACCCGGGTAGCGGTGCCGAAGGCTTTGGCCCTTTTATGATTAAATGTTAAAACGGCTTGCCATACTCTGTCATTTCGACTAGTCACAATTATGTTACAGATGTCTTAAATGATAATACAAACTATCCAAAATGTAATTACGAATAGACAGAAAGACGTTGTTGATATCTACAATGTTAATTCCGGACAGGCAAACTTAGCTTTTAAATGTTAAAAGGGCTTGCCATACAGGGACGTAGGCTCAGAGAGAGGCTCACCATATTCAAACCAAAATATCTGACTTCCTCTTGGTCCGAGCTAATGACTATGTATTAGAAAGTTGTCCGGCTTGAGGAGTACAATGTATATACCGATTTTTGTAACTGTAGATAAAACTAACAACCCCACTTTTGTCAAAAGGTGGCGCTATTTAGTCCTTGCACATTGCCCGTTTCTGAAACTTTGCACGTCTACTGGCTAATAAATGTGATGTATCTGTTGAGTTTCAAGCAATTTCAATTTCAATTTGACTGTTGAAAAGAAGTGCGCCGATTAGATACTCAGGATCGGTATCGGCTCTGACACTGCCATCTTTGACGAGGCTGATTCAAATTCTATATTGTGCATATACTATTCTGTTAGGCACAAAGGCACAAAAACTTTCTAAAGTACCATAAAGTTTTTGTGTACTGTATTATTAGTGTTCTGAAGCTATTATGTGATATAGAAATTAATATTTAAGTCATTAAATTCAAGAACACAAACTTTTCCCTCTCTGCGCCTGTCAGTCATTCTCCATTCAGCATTCAAACAGCACGTCACATTCGGTTACAGTCAATGATGAAACGATCTTCAATGATTCAATGTTAATCCTATTATACTGGATCTTTAAGATAAAGGTCTAAAGGTCTATATTTTCGAATGAAGAAACTTTTTCTTGCTGGACTTTATTGCTGTAACTTAATCGTGTTACTTTCTACCGGGTGTCGGACGCTGTCGGTTAGATCACAACACTAGAGTCAGAGCACTATAATTGTTCTTCACGCACACAGTAACTGAAATTTAAAACCTTTAAAAGAAAAGGCTCAATAAACTATTGCATAGATAGATAATGTATAATACACTGTTCATAAATATGTATTTCCTTTGTGCTTTGAACTTTTCAATACGGACTCAATGCGCTGTAACTTCATGTGGCTTCAAGCACATCATTCTCCGCTCGGGATGCACATAAGTGCTTTGTGCTGCACCGTATTGGAGCCGTAATATCATAATGCAGTGACGTAATGACAGATTATTAATTGCCTTTCAATTATATGTTGCTTTATAGCAGCCATGGCTATATTTTTTTTTAATGATTTTTGTTATCTTGTTTTTCATGAATGTATTTTTCAAAAATAAGAGCAATGTGTATTATCTATTATTAATATGGTTTATAATAGCATTTTTGTCATAGATTATGACAAAGTAATCATATGATCCACCAGCGAGGAACCAGCAGAACAGAGTGAACATTCTTTCTGTTTAGTTCAATCCTACTTAATAGGAATTTATTTAAAATGCTCGCTCTACTCCACACCATTAATGTCTTGTGCGGACATCCGTATTTTGACTTTCGGTTTTAAGTAAGCGATTTAAAAGCTCCCAAGTCCCAGCGGAGTCACACGTTGATTAACCGGTGGGAATATACACAATAGGCCTACCTGATATTGAACACAAGAGGGCAGTATAGCACTACGTATGACTCAGATTATTATTTTTTTATGAATTTTACAACAATTCTGGCTGTTTTTGAACGTAAACACAATTCTTAAATGAAAAAAAAGGAAAAATTGGGGAAGTTATAATATTTGTATAATTTAATTTAGAAACAAATGATGTATAATTACATTTTTAGAAGATATGAGGCTTTTAGTGTTTACTTTTTTGACATTACTTTAATCTTTTGCCATAGTTGCACATGTCTATTGGCTAATAAATGTGATGTATCTGTTGAGTTTCAAGCAATTTCAAGCAAGCTAAGAGTCCCAAAAGCATCAAAAAATAATGTTAAAGTTTGTTTCGTTGCCACGGCATTTTGAAAGTGACACACTTCCTGCTGCCAGTTGGTGGCGCTATAACTTTGACTCACAATAGTCACATCCATGTGATCGGTCTCTTACAGCGAAAACACTGCTGAAGTTTCATCAAGATCAGTTAATGTATGCTGAAGTTATAACACACATCCTGTTCCATGTTTCTCGCCATAATTTCGTTTCCTCGCCACGGCCAAACCGTTCGAGATATCAAAAATCCCGTGGCACTTTTTCATCCTTAATGTCTTGACTTCACGCTGATCGAGTTTCGTCGAATTTGGTTCAGTGCTCTAGGAGCAATAATTTAAATTACATTGCATGTGTTTTAAACACAACCCTAAATAGCCAACTTCCTGTTGGGCTGGGGTAAAAAGTAAGAGTGTGAAGTATATATGAAACGATGAGATCTATATGTGTACCAAGTTTCATATTATTACATGCAAGTGTGTTTGATTTATGGACCAAATTTTCAGACCAAGTTTATTGACCAAGTTAATCTGATTAATAAACTAATTATATAAAACTATTGTCAATTCACTACAATTAAACTAGTTATATGCCTTTACTTATAAAAAATAAAAATAAAAACTTATTTAAAAAATACCAGGCTTGAGAAATGTATTTTCTTTATGCAGGTCATACACACAGCAGTGAAATGGTTAAGCCCCCTCCCCCTGCACACACACACACACACACACACACACAGACAGCCAGCCAGCCAGCCAGCCAGCCAAAGGCTCAGAGTGGCCATATTCAAACAAAAATATCTGAGTTTCTGTGGGTCCTAGCTAATAAGTGTCAATTAGAAAGTTGTCCGGCTCGAGGAGTACAATATACATACCAATTTTTGTAACTCTAGTTAAAACTAACCACCCCACTTTTGTCAAAAGGTGGCGCTACTGAGCCCTCACCACGCCCGTTTCTGCAACTTTGCACATGTCTACTGGCTAATAAATGTGATGTGTCTGTCGAGTTTCATGCAATTTGAAGCATGCTAAGGGTCTCAAAAGCATCCTAAAAGCATCCTAAAAGAAGGGTAAAGTTTGATGCGTCGCCACGGCAACAGTTTCAAAGATATCAAGAATCCATTCACAGGTCTACATCTGCCGTATGTTTACATTATACATATGAAGTTTGAAGCAAATCGGGTAAAAATAAAAGGGTGATATCAAAGCATTTTGAAAGTGACACACTTCCTGCTGCCAGTTGGTGGCGCTATAACTTTGAC